ACATATCTTGTTTCTTCTGCTTACTTCAAGGAGTCAGATGGACTGTTTTAGATGTAACTTCATTAACGCATTAAATGAATAACATGGTTCCCATGAAGTTATACGGCTGTGTATCTCTATGTTTCAAAATGTATAACAATGCTGATAGGGCCTATTGCTCATTTTTTCATCGTTATTTCAAGGTCGCAATATGTGTGAGCCTTAAACCATGATTTAGAGAAGACAAAAATTAGTTTAACAAGCACACGTAGACTGAGCCGTCTGTTGTGTCATCTTTTATCTCTCAATACCTTATCTCCACTATCAATTAATTTCGTTCAAATGCACCGTTAATAATGAGTCATTAATGAGACATTTTCTGAAATAAAAAAACATCTCATGAAAATACTTCAGTGTTTTACACCATTTTTTCTACAATCACGTCTTTGTATATATAAGCACACACACACACACTTTCCCCTCGATCTCAATATTCTGTGGATAGTAGGAGTATTTGTGCAGTTCAGTTTTGGCAGAATACACATTTATCGATGTCATAAATGTTGAGACATTTTATTTACTTATCTAATACAAACAAAATGAATCTGGTTTAATTCTGATGATACTTCTATAGAATGATGATCTTATGTGTATTTGTGTATGTGTATCACTTTGCTTTCTTACATGTACACAATGATGTTGTGTTTTAATTGAATGAATTAATATTGAAGACAAAATTCGGTGCTTGTCTTTTGAACATTGAATATTCATGTTCTTATATTGGTATGTTGATATGGTGTGGTATATGTCAGTTTATTCTCATTAAAATAAAGAGTATTTTTATTACGGAATAAAAGTAACTACAAAATATTGTACGCATATATTGAATACTGAATGTAAAGTAAATGATACTTGCTATGTCAATTCTCATTTATCAATAAGAGGTTGTAGGGATTATTGAATTTCATTTAAATCATGAAAGGATTTCTACAAGTCTTTGCTGATATTTATTATGTTTTAATTAGTGCGAGGAAATTTCTGAAGTTCTTGTAATAAACCGTAATTGGTGGAGTTGGACTGTGTTGAGTGTGACACAGTTATCCACCAATGACAATGGAAGATGGTCACGCAATGACCTGGATCGATTGAAGTTAAACATTAACATCGTGAGATGCTGAATCAGTGGTCCAGAGGTTTAACGTCTTCGAGAGACCAACATCACTGAATTCGAATCACGCGTGCGGCAGTGAACAATATCTGGACTATGTTGAGATGGTTGTTAACTCAAGAAAAGAATGAAATTTAACAAAAATCTAGACAAACAGATTCCGGAAATGAAATTTCCATCTAACTCAGGTCAGTACGTACACAATTTCTCTAGCGTTATTCTGGATGAAACTGCGTTCTATGCGTTATAATTAAGCCCTAAGTTTTGTGACTTTAAGAAAACAGTCAATAAAATGGACTTTGAAATTCAGTTCGAAACTCTTTATGCTCAAACGGCAGAACTAGTAACTTCATCAAAAGATAATGTCGAAAGATTTAAATCAACACTGGTCGACTGTTGTTTTAAGTACTCAAATCATAGACATAACACGAAAGGGATTTTGACGGAAAAACATAGAAAAGCTTTAGGAAAAATTAAAACTGATGACAATTTATTAATCACGAAACCGGAAAAAAAACATGTGATAGTACTCATGGATAAAAATAACTACATAAACAAAATGAAAGCCCTTTTTAATAATAAAAGCAAATTTCAGAAACTGGCTGTGAAGAACGACGTAGCAGATAAGGTTGAAAAGCAATTAACAGATTCACTGAAAGAAAATTAAACAACAAGGTTTTATTTCAGAAAAGGTGTTCGAAATGTTGAAACATACAGGAACGATTGCACCAATACTATATGGCCTACCAAAAATACACAAAGCTGACTTGCCCCTTCGACCAGTTTTATATATGAATAACACTGCGTATCATACTATAGCAAAATGGTTGGTGTAAATCCTTAAATCATTACACAAGGGAATTGTCAAGCATAGTATCAAGGATGCCTTTGAATTTGTTGAGAACATAAAAAATCTATCAGTCAAGAATAATTTCATGATATCACTTGATGTATCATCCTTATTCACCTACATTCCACTACTTGAAATGGTTGATTTAAACTAACAGTGAGGCGCATAGAAACCCCGATTCCTGCATCCGCAATAAAACAGTTAATTCTTAGATGTATAATGAATGTCCAATTCAGATTTGACAACGAATATTATAGACAACTAAATGGAGCTGCATGGGATCACCATTTAGCCCTCTACTGGCTGATATTTTCCTTGCAAAACTGGAAAATGAACCACTTAAAAGCACAATTAGTCATTTACCGACTATTTATCGTTATATAGACGACACGTCTACAGTATTAGAAAAAGAATATGACAAAAGCAATCTACGTAATATATTTATTAACGTTCATCCATCAATTAACTTTAAGTCAGAAGATGAACAGAACAATAGCATATCATTTCTAGATGTCCAACTAACTAGAAGAGCAGACGGAACTTTAAAAAGAGGAGTACACAAAAAGTCTGCAACAGGACAATACACTCATTTCTATAGTGCAGTTCCAATCGGATACAAAAGGAACCTAATAAAGATCTTGACTCACGGTGCCAGAATGATTTGCTCGGAAGACACCATTGAAGATGAAATGGTTAATATTCGGGACTTACTTAGTACGAATGGGTACCCTAGGAAATTCATCGACAAACACACGATGGAGATGTAAACAAGGGCAAAGATACCAACCGTCCCTAAGAAAGTACTGCTCATAAAATTACAATTCATAAATGCATCACTGAATTAATCGTGACTCGGAAACCAAGAAGAGCTGTACAAAAAATTTAATGCAGCCAGATTAAACGTTATCTCCTACAACCACCACAAAATAAGAACGGCCAATAATGACAGACTGTCTGAATTTGTCAGATCCATGTGTATCCATCGGTTCAACTGCTCCTGAGGAGCCAGTTATATAGGGCGTACAATTCGGTAATTTCGCCATCGTATTACAGAACATCATCCGTCATGGTTAAACAAAGGACAGGTAAAAGTGATCTAAAGTTCTATTCTCTCTCTCTTGGTTGACACAGGTCATCAAGTTGAATTGAATAAAGCTTTTAAGGTTATCTACAATATCCCATCAAATTTGCCACATGGTTTACGATAGCGGCTTTTGCACATTGCGGAAGCAATCGCAATCCATGTTCACAAACCTGACCTTTGCATTCAAAAGAGATTTGTACAACCACTTTATCTGCCATGGCCATCAGTATAAGATTTCTTTCTAAAGAACTATTTTTTATACTTCTTCCACTTCATTTTTTCCTTCTTTAGAAATTTTTGTAATTTTGGTTCTGTTGCTTTTGTACTATTATATAACTTCTCAACATTCGTCTCTTGATTCTTATGTAACTACTATTCTATTGACCATCCATTATGAAATTCTGTTCCTTCTCTTTTTCTTATATTACGCAACGTAGTAACTTCTTGATTACTCTGAATATTAATATTCCTCTTTCTTCCAATTACTCAATGTTAATTTCAATGTCATTATTTCATTATTATTACGTAACGTATCCACTTGATGAAAGTTATATCATTGGTGCAAATCATACTTATGTATATTAGTGTAGAGTTATGATGAAAAACTAATTGAAAAGAAATTTCTTCGCTCAATTCGTTTCTTCTTTATTGACCAAATGGCAAAATGGTAATTTTCACTGTATAAAATGTTTATCTACCAATAACCCACAGACCGACAGTCATTAGCACCGTGAACTGATCCCTTGGACTGACTACATCAGTCATATGTCTGAGGTTAAATATTCGTTCATTAATTTTTTAATCCCTGATATGTGATTGTGTGGTAAGTGCTTTAGCCTACTAAAGTAAGCTTCTCTCTGACTCCTTATTTTAAGTTGTTCTTAAGTGTGAATACATCGAATTTTTAAGGTGTAAATCTTATAAGTTTAACTGTCAATGTTGAATAAACCTACAATTCGTCATTCGATAAACTACTAATGCGTATAACTGTCCATGAAAGTAATAGTCAATACACTATCGTGGAAAATACGGTGAGGGAAAGATGATAAAAAGTCAAATTATAGTATCTAGTTGTTTAAGTGTAATCGATATAAATAAATAAAAGAAAACAACAACTGAGAACTTATCCGATATCTATTAAGTGGTTACTTTAACGTTATTAGATAATATACCTTTCGGGTTACAAAAACATTCTTTGTCTGAACATTAGACAATTCTTTATACTTTGTGATAATAATTCCTTGATCATCTATGTGGTGTGCGCTACTTATATTGACATAAGTAGTAGATGATGTTAGTCGTGAACAGAATGTCTGACAGCAGAGAGACATGAGTATGGAACAGTAAAGAATGGAAGCATAATGCAATCTGTATAAAAATGCAAGAACAATGAATTCTGCATTGTAAGATGATCACATTTTGATATGTAATTATTTGATAAAGTCTAAAGATCCTAGATTTGATCCTTGATGAGATCGTTATTGAGGTGTTACATTTAAAAATGAGATCGCCTTTCATTGCTTCCTGATCTTGAATGAATGTCTAACCAATATGATGATATAAAGAAGAAAATTTAACTTATAAACCTAATAATTAAAAAAGCTAAAATTATAGAATACGTGAGTTAATTGAAGATAGACCATTATAGAAAATCTTAAATCACTAGACGACCATTTCGTTCCGATATATTGACTCCTCAGTGGTGTGCATCAACGATCCTGACTCGTGAGATGCGAACCAAGGATCTACCAGTCTCATGCACGAGAGTTTAACAGTTACATCACCAAGATGAAATGGCTGTCCAGGGCTTTCAGGTTTCCCATGAAAGTCCGGTTACAAATTAACTCGTTATTAACTAAGATGAACAAAGTCTTATACTTTTCATATTCAATTCTATTATTTTGCTTTAATTTTTTTAGATAGATTGACCAGAAATGAATTTATCATTATGATTGTCAGTTGTGTCATTTCATTACTGACTATTCTTACATTCATTATTGGTTTATTATATATTCAAAGAAAATGTAAATACATTGAGTGGTTTAATCATCATTATTTCTGTATAAAATGTAAATTTACATTGAATAGAACAACCTACAATAAAAATGAAAGAAGGTAATGAGAATAAACTTTATTCTTTTGAGCGTGGGGTTATGGGATTACAGTGAATGTTCACAGTGTGAATACTCTTCATATATTTTACTTGTATTTTCCTATTGTTGTTTAGGACTGTAGTTGATCAGTCTCTTGTTAATATATGTGCATCCTGTGAGGATTGTCTCAACATTGTCTAAAATCACTAGCTTTATAAGCAAAGATGGATAACAAGTGATTTTAAACTTCATTGCACAAGAGGGCGACAATCAGGATTCAGTAGCTAAGTGGACAACAATTACAGTGAATGTTCACAGTTTGTAGTGTATATCATGAACTGGCTTTTGACTAAACAACTATAGTGTGAATTCATTTGGTATTGTTTGTTTGAATAGTCTCATTATTGTTTAGGATTACAACTGATCAGTCTTCTGTTGACATGTATGTATCTTGTGCGGACTGTCTCGATATTGTCTTCAGCCACAAGATTTATGAGCAACAATGGATATCAAGCGGTTTTAAACTCCATTCTATTGCACAAGCAGGCGGCTTTCAGGATTCAGTACCTGACTTTTACAACGCGATGGAGTTCCAAGTGAACGGCACTGGGTTCAAGTCCCGGAGTGAACATCAACTCAGGTGCAGGTAGATGCAGCTGACGAATCCCATATAGTACGGAACACGCATCCTGTATTCCACTGCTAGCTATTAACCATCTTTGCTTATAAAATTATAGTGTGATTTCTTTGGTTTTTATAATTGCACACTATTTATTCTAAAAATAATACTCTTTTCAAAAGGAACTAGAATATAGAAGTATTTCTGAAAGCCAAACAAGAATTAGTAAACCATAGAGTTCAAATATGCAGATCATTGGAGCAACGTCACCAGTGGTGATGGAATCACGTCGCGCTATGTCGAAAATCGACTGAAGTTTATATCATCAACCAAAGAGTGTAATACTACTATTTGCGAAGATTTTAATCACACTTTTGTTGATATTTAAGAGTGAATTTTAATCAATCTTTGTTGATGTATGTTAATCCTTTAGGGATTGTTTTGATAATGTCATTGCAAAAAATTATTTCGAGAAGCTAATTACAAATAGTTGTGGAGTCTAGGAGTACAATTTCGTCTCATTCAGAAGTCGTCAGTTGTATGTACATGTATTTCAGAGCAAGTGTTCTCAATGAATAAGTAAGTGACAATCTAAACTCAGACATTCTGTGAATGAAACATTAGTGTTTAGAGAAAAAAGGAATTGGCTCAAGTTCAGATATCAATAACTGCACTAGGATGCGAGTAGATTCAGTTAGCTAATCCAAAATCGGACGAGACTGGAGTGTTAAATTTTACAAAGTTATCTAATAGACGTGATGATATATGTTAATCACTCCTCAATAGATATGTGATTTAATTGCTAAATGTTAGTTGGTAAATACTCTCCTCTGTGAATTTTTGTACTAATATAAAACAACTGTTCAGTACAACTTAATCTGTAGTACTTGTCTGACAATGGTCAATCTATAAAGTGTATGTTGGAAAAGGAATGTCATGTATATCATTTCGTTGTTTCTCTTTTCAAAAGATACAATCATAAGACAGTTGGATACTTTGCAGCAGTGGATTTGTCAGAAGTTATACAAAATTCACTTACTGATGATGATCATTTCAATGTAATTAATAATAAAGAAATGAATCAATCACTCAATCAGCCTTATTTGGTAGGTATTTTAAAGAAATATTTTGATCTACTTATATTATTTAAGTAGTTATGAAATTAATAAAAGAAATGGTATTGTATAGCATAAACTGGATTCGAAGTAAAATGATTGATTAAGAATCTCACATTTTCGATTGATCAATCAAACCAATTAAGGTAAACATTTTACACATATATCAGGAACTAACTGTAAGATTTAAATTCATCACCAATGGAATAGATCGTTTTGTGGACATTTAATACGAGATTCTTGAACTATTCATCTGTAATGAACGGGAACATAGGCGAGAATAATCAAATGGCTATGAATAAAACATTACAGAATCTTTTAATAAAGTCTGATAACCACACTGTAAATCCCTGATTTTCAAAATGTCAATCAATTGTTTCAGACTTGATTTTTCCTTTTTCTTTCCACACTAATTATACTCTGTCCTCGTTCTCTTCTCTTCAATCTGCATAACCTTCTGTCGTCAGACATTTCACTTTTGATTCATGATACTTATATTTGTCGACACCAGTAGCACACACCACAAATCAAGCCTTAGTTGTAATACTGAAGTATTTAATTGGTGTACTAAACATGAAGAGTTGTGAAGTGAGATAACAATTATTCATGTTAAATATGACGTGAATAAGAGATAGTCTATTCATCTTAATAATTAAGTAGTTGAAATATATTCAGCTTCAGGTAAATGTGAACAATAAACAGTTGACAATGTTTTCTATTTTTTTTTTGAACGGTATTTAGAATGATCGCGTAGTTCCTATAAATCTACTTGATGGTTACATAACAACTAATCGCATTTTACATGGGCAACAATCAACTTTACATGAGACATTTTGTTGTGAATATAAAAGTAAGTGATCACTGAATAATTACCACTTGACTATATCCTAATGATTGGTGATTTTGATGAAATGGTGTATTGTATTTTTCAGTGAAAATAAGTATTGACTTATGTATAAGATGAGAAGTAACAATGGTCACTATGGCTTATTGGATCAATAGAGTTGATATGATGGGAAGGAAAATCAATTTCTGATTGATTTACTGATTGTGAGTTTTATTCAACATTACATCCATTCTAATTCGATGTCATGACAATTTACGGTAGTAATTGTTTTCCTTTTGGTATGATATTTTTTTCTATATAATATACGATAATCCTCTATTCCATTGACATGAACAATACTCAGTATATGATTTGTGATAACTCTAAGTATTTTTCATATATGTGATTTTATTTTAATTATTAATCAAAATGAGTGTAAAATCAATATATAAATTAGTGTATTTTAGACTATTTTGACCACCATCGTCGTCGTGTTTTGGGGCTAATAAATCATCACTTATACCAGTCTTGTGTTCTTACTTCGCATTGTGTGAATTGCAGGGGGCCCTCGTTCCGAGTATAAGTGATTAGCGGCTTTTTCTGGCACAGTAAGTGTGACGACCAATATAACAAGACTCTCCCTATGTTCTCTGTGTGACAGTTTCTCCATAATGCTATTGCACAATAGTTGTGCAATAAAGCCAATTTATCATAGTGAGATACATAAAACTTTGGATTCGGACCTAAGGGTATAAAAGGTTATCTTTCTATGCGTGACCCAGAAGTTCCAAGTTCGATCTGTGATGGTTTGAAGGATATGTGTTGTTGAGGAATTCCATATCACGGCAATATCGGCATCTAGAACTTCTTGATTTAATTAGTTATCTGACTATTATTAGTTTTTAACATAAACCACGAAATTCCTTGGTGTTATACTTTACTGAAGAAATTACTTACGTCTGAAAAAACACAAGATTGCTGATGTAGGAAACCAGTTAGTAAACGTTTTATAAATGAGAAATGAGCACTTCTAGACTGACCAACTTCTACGGGTGTATCAATTGTCGACGTGGAAATTTTAAAAAGCCAATTCTTAAGAATTCTGAAATGGTGAATTAGGATCATCTAGAATTACTTCAGAGTACGAATGAGTACGGAAACGAAAGAAGTTGGAAGTTGTTCATGATAATGTCATGTAATACGTCACCATCATTTTGTTCAAACATAAATCACAATAGTAACAAGAATCAAGAAGTTAATATAGTTAACAAATACTTTAAATACATGGATCACAGATGAATTAACGGCTGATACACCGTTGTCAGTACACTGATTTCGTCTTCTCCACTGACCTTGAAAATTCTAAGTTAAGGCTTGCTTTGTGACACACTTGGGTGCTTGCCTCGATGTGTGCCATATGCTCAGATTTCCAACCTTTCCATGTAACTCGCAAAAGCATCAAAATCTGAGTGTATGTTCAACCGTTACATTACAGGCTCCATCGACACACAAATGTGATAATTCGGAGTATTCCAAACATGGTACAAACTGGGAATCCCAGGAATAACGTAATAAAACGAGGAACAGCTAGATGAGCACGAGCGAAAGTATTGTATTCGGAATTCCAAATGAGGCAGTCAACAAGTACATGAGAACCATTAGTTCATAATAAATGGTTACTAATATGTAGTAAAAGTAGAATACCTGATTGATGGAACTCCATCAGTATTTAATTACTAGACAAACAGGACATCAACAATGGTGCTTTGATCAATAAATATAAACATCTCTGTCCTACAAGATGTCAGTCGTGTTGACAGTAACTTAGCAGTAAATTTTTATACTGCGAAATTGAGTGATATGAGTTTGAATTACACGAGGAGTATTGTTTTTTTCAAGATTGAGAGTATAACATACTGACTTGTACCAACTACTATGAAACCGGACTACACGATTTTTTGCAGACAGCCTACAAACACCGAGCATTGTCAAGCTCAATTAAATTATCTCCTTAATAAAATCAATAAAGACGATGAGTCTGAAATTGGCAAGACAGTGCAAACCTGACATGCTATTTAAATATTCAACTGTGAATGCTTCATTCCAAAAGAGCGCATTTCAAATCTGTTGAAAAGTGGGGGCAAACTTCAGCACCAAATGACATGTCAAAATGTATTCAACATCACGTAAACTTTGATCGCTTACATTGAACCATGATATGCAACCATATTCAATATTCAGTGAAAACATACATTTGATCAATAGTAAAATGTGTTTATTCAGAATATCGGATGAGGATGAGTTTATCCGTCACAGTGATTGTTATAAAATGGAACACAGAAGGTGATGTGGATTTCATCACCAGGATGATTCCCCACAGTCTCATAGACCGATATACACAGGAAGCAATAACTAGTCGAGTTTCAAAGAATCAGGATCATTAATGCGCGATCCAGAGATTGATAAACTGAGTAAGTGAGAGCTGGACGATTCTGTGAGGAAACAACCACTAAACCCATCTGAAATTAGACGGTGAATGGCTACAGTGTTTATTCATAGATGGAGCACAGACTTCTATGAATTGACAGCCGAGAGACTTGTTTATAGAAAGTAGTAATCTATTGAAAAATGAGAATTTCACTCATTTTTTTCTGTACGTGTGGCTAATTATCAGTCATTTAAACAAGTTATTGTTAGAAATCGTTGTTTTTTTGCTCTAAATAAGATTCATATTACGCCCACTATACATAATAGATGATATAGAATAATACCATATTATTTGATTAATGAGATGACGTGAGGTGACTGACGACAACAAAGTATAATCATTGATACTTCTGTCAACAACTGAGGTCAACAGACATATGTTTTTGTTAATTAAATGTTCTGATAATTTACACTGAGATTAAAGAAGTAATAATATATTTTACTTTAAATTTTTCACAGAATGTAAGAGAAGTGATAGAATTCGGTGCAATGTTCTAGTCGATCATAGGAATCGGACAGAATTCCAAATTTTTCAAATCTTATTCCTGAGTGCACAGCATTCAAAAGCCATTGCATCACTAAGCAAATTTGAGGAAGTTTATCAAACGAGATACATCTTCAAGTTGAAACATTTCATTTCCGAGTGCGTGCAACCGTTTTCGTAGTTCTGCTTAGCAGTATATTTTTGCGTAATGTCGATTTGTGTGAGATAATTGTCCTCATGTTGAATAGAGGTCAGATAGAGGCGAATGGTATGAGTGGCATTTATAAATTGTTGAGTGAAGTGTGTTACTAAAATCAAGGTGAAATGAACTGTTGGGTTGGTTATCTGTGGATGTTGAGGGGGACTGTCATCTGTCAACTACGTTTGCCTGTGTTCTTGAGTCCAACTTCATTAGGATCAGTTACAGTTATTACAATTTCCAATGGAGAGGTCGTTTTTTAGTTCAGGAGTGTGGAACTCCACTAATGTGGACATAATTATTTTCCTAATTCAACTGAATCACTTGATATTGTGCAATGAGTACAAAATTCAATTTGATTGACAGGCATAAATCGAATTGAGTAAAACGCTGGTTGACAAATAAGATTTTACACGATAGAAAGAAGCAAACGTTTTGTAGTGTGCTAAATGATTATATGAAAACGTTTACCATCTGAAGATAATCTGTTCAACGATTCTACTAAAGAACCTTCGAATGTAACTCTTTGATGGACATTGCAACCACTGCACAGTGTGTAGTTCTTTGACTATCAATATTTGGTATTACACTAATTTGAAATACATTAAATGTTGGGTAACTAGAAACTGAAGGTGAGATGAAAGACTCCATGTGTATTGGACTGAATTGGTTTTAGTGTTGATGTTCAATCTTGAACTAGACCCCAGTACTGTTCGCTTCAAACGCCATCGTGTTATTCACTTGGCTTCTGAGTCCTGATAGCCACTTGCTTGTAAAATATAAAAAAATTAAATTTATTTTCTATTGCCTGTTTTGGACTTCTTAATAAGTGACTGATCAATAACAGTTTCAAACATTAATGAAAAGAATCAAACGAACAATACAAAACGAATATTTATAGTGGTAATTAAACAATTAAACAAATAGTTGAATAAATTACTTATTATTAAAGAAGACACTAAATGAAGTAACACAGAAAGCGCAAATATCGAATGTAGAATATTGAAATGAACAATCTATAATCCAGGAAATGATAACTGTGAGTTGGAAAGTGATAAAATATAGAATGAATAAATAAGCAAAATATTTAAATTAGAAGATCGTTATTTCACTTCGTAGAAGTAGAGAGGAACCAATCTCAATAGTTGACAGCGAGGAAATGGTACTACAAGTCATTAACCGGTGCATATTTTGATTTTCATTGTCATATGTGATCAGATAGTTATTCATGATAGAGGTGAATCATCAAGTATTATTTCTACTGCAGTCAAACATGTGGTGAGCATCCCACAGGACGTAGTCTGCTCACCAGATAGTAAACTCAAAGTTCTAAGTTCATTACTTATCAATATTTCCCACATTCCTCCAGGATGACTTGCGTGGGGAGCATTATAGTGCGTTCTATGTTCCGTCTGGTCATTTCTTTGGCCACTCTTATATTTTAGGTCCGGCAAAAGTCTAACAAAGTTCATTCTTCTATCACTGTATATCTTCTTTGACAACTCTCTGCATGTTAAAAATCACAACGATGCCGATTAAACAGGCTTCGGATCTGTTACACCAATGCCCAAAGCTTACTCAATAAGCGACCGAAACTAGGTGTACAGATTGACTCTACAAAGCCAAGCAAAATCGCAGTCACAGAAACCTGGCTGACACAGTCTATAGATAGTATGGAACTTGATCTCTGGAGTTTTACGTTATTAAGAGCCGACAGAATACATAAGCGTAAAGAAGGGGGAGTAGCTCTATTCATTAAGAATGCTACTCCATTCGCCATTATCGACAGTGTATCCCATGAGATTGGGATGTGTGAATTAGTCAGTTGCTGCTTTAAATGCAAGAGAGAGGAGCTGCTGATT